CTATTATACTCCATGATTAAAGTATTTTATTGAGTATATAGAAACTAAATGGACAAAAAACCCATGATCTGTATAATTTATTTTCTTCTTTTATCAAAATACAACATATATGCAGAGAAACGCCCAAAACACACATGTGCAGTCTAATGAATACATACAAACACCTGTGTAACGACCACCCGGTTCACGCTGTAACACTGCCAGCACTCCTGTTCTTCTCTGTGTGCCCATGTAAACCCACCCCTCAAGAAGCAACCATTAATCGTTCCTTTTTTTCTGCAGGGATGAACACAATTTTAATTTGGTGATCATATCTTTCAAATCTGAATTAGTGAAAGTGTTTGATGTTCATCGTTTCCTCTAGAATGCTGCTTTATTATCACGAACAGATGCTCCTGACTATCCAAACGTCCACATTTATGAGGTTGTTTAGACAAGCAAAAAATCATTATAATGTACACATGTCACCCATGAACCCTCCCACTTATAAAATCAGTCACCACCCGCATCACTTCTTAACACTACTGCCTATTCAGGCCCTTCCTGTCTTCAAAGATCAGTGTCTAAGAAGCTTTTCTTCAAGAGATATTTTTAAGAATAAAAATGTAGACAAGAATAATCAAAATGTCCGATGCTGTGCTTTAAACTGAAATACTTGACTTACTGGGAGCTGACTCATACCCAAGCTATCCAACTTCCCTCTGCTATTAGAGAATATCAACTTCTAGTCCATATAGAAAGGGAGGAGGAGGAGGAAGCACAATTCAGACACTGAATCAGAAGTAAAATAGATCGTGTATCTATGAATTACAGTGTGCCTTAAACTTTTAAAAAAGGTAGAGACGTCCGTGAATTCCTACCAAAACTTCTATTCCTCTTGTCTGGTCCTCATCATTCCAATAAAGGAGAGTTGGGACCCCTGATGTCCTCAGAGGCTATAATGGGAGTCTTGGGGGCAAGTTTTAACATTTTAGCCTAACAAAATGTATATCCTTATTCCATCACCTTAAGGAAGATCCTCATTGCACCACCTTAAGGCAGTACCACTGAAAATCTCATGCTGAGAACACTTGAATGGGAAATGAATTGCTCCTCATTACTGGCATTTGTAAAAAGATCTTTCAAAATGTGGGCTCCATGCTGGAGGGCAGGGAGGCATTATTTTAAGAAATATCCCTGGAAGTAAACAAAGCTAAGCAGATTGCCAGGTCTTTCCTTCCAAGGAGCAGCTGGTGGGTTCTAACCTCTGACTTTTCAGTCAGCAGTCAAGCAAATAACAACTGTGCCA